GTTCTGGGGGGAGAGTCCAGTTTCCCCAGGCACTGGCAGTGCTGATATTCATATCCATATCGCCAGGGATATGAATAAAAATATCCCATCTCTACTGCTAACTGCACACACTATCTACATAACGAATTGCATACTAGCTGCACTACTGCCAGCAGACTGAAAATAAGAGGGAAAAGGACTCTCAAGCAGAGAGGAGTGTCTCTCTTCAAAATCAGAGGCAGGGATGGAACAATTGGTTACAGCTGGATTGATCGACAGACACCCCAGCCCAGCAAGGCCCAACCAAACCTCTTACAGGCAACATATGAGACTGAAAACATTCCAACATCCACCTCTATGTGGTTCTTCAACTTAAAAGGATGGGGTGAAGCTAGAACTCTCCATCTCCTCATGCTTTCAAATTATCCCTGTTTTAAATGCTTGAATAGGATTTAAATAGTACTGCAGAGATTCTTGATTGCTGTTCTTACCTGGTCTATAATGACTAGGAAGAAGCCAGAGAGAGTTCTAGAAGAGAAGGGCCATTTTGGACAGGTTTCTCCAGGTCTGCTCTTCCTTGGCTGGGAATTTATGTAATCAAGCAGTGTGCATGTGAAGAAAACACAGTCCACAGGAGAAAGGTGAGGAGGACAGAAAGAATCAGAGAACTGAACTGGTTCTGGAAGCACCTGAGCTTTTTACTCAGAAGAGGTGGTACTGGAAACAACGTAGGCAATGATCTTGCTATCCACCAGGTCCATTTTTTGAGGAAGAGATCAGAATGTGTGCTTCCATTCTTCTCATCATTCCCACCTAGTATTCTTGGGTTCATGTTTAACCTCAGGCATTTCTCCCAAACTCCAGTCCCACAGATGTGGACAACTCAGTTTTATCAATAATATTTTGTACTACATAACTGGAGGGTGTTCCAACAACACTCCAAAGGGTACATTTTCCATCACCATCTGGTGAGACTTACACAAACTGACCCTAAGAACATGAAGCACAGTTTCTCCTAATACAAGGTTTCCCCAAAAATAAGACAGGGTCTTATATTAATTTTTGCTCCAAAAATAATTTGGGCTTATTTTCAGGGGATATTTTATATTTTTGTTCATGTACAACAATCTACATTTATTCAAATACAGTCATGTCATCTTCTGGTTGCTGCATGATGGTGGAGGGCAGGGTTTCACTTAAGTGGGGCTTATTTTGGGGGGTAGGGCTTATATTACGAGGCTCCTGAAAAATCATACTAGGGCTTATTTTCAGGTTGGGTCTTATTTTCAGCAAAACAGGGTACCAGTGGATGGAAGTGGTTCCACCCAACTAATTCTTGGTGGGAGAACAAAGGGGTTGAAGTCAGGCTGCACAGAGACAACTGCAATGTGGATGATGATCCCAATGCACTTCTCTCGTTTTCTCTTCATGGGTCACTCACCTTCTACTTCCCCCGTCCTCAAGGGACTCCCTCTGTTCCTTTCCATCAATCCCGGTCATCCCTTCTGAATCATTTTCCCCCATGGTTTGTATTCTTCTTTCCCTCTCTTGCCTTTTCTGCTCTCTCCACTCTCTCCATCCCCCATAAGAAGACTTACATGGGGAGCAGACTTCATTTCTGCCTCTCAGTATGACCAGCTCTCCTGTCTAGAGGTCTTCGTTCTCATCCCACTCCCGACCCTCCGGAAGCTTGGCTTGTGGGTTGGCTTCCATCCCCTTCTGGCCTCCTCTCATTTTGTCTGCCTCTTCTTCATTCTCATCTTCTATCTTCTCCTCTTCCCCCTTTTCTCCTCCTTTTACATCTCCTTCCACAACCTGTCCTCCCTTTTCTTCCTCTGGTTCTTTTCCCGGGCTTTCTTTAGACTGCCTCTCCCCTCTCTCATTGCTGGGTCTGTTCCTGGACTTTTCCTCCCCTCTAGGTTGCTATTGGTCACTCATTTCCTGGGTTTTCTGAGGTGCCTGGCCTTTTGGCTAGGGGTTGATCCAGTTCTCTGTTGGGGAACTTGCAGTCTCACATTCCTTCACTTTGGAGTGAAAAGCCTGGTGGCACATGAGCAGGAAGGCCTCCCTGCTTCCTTCCTCACACCTAGCATGGATTTGTTTTCTATTACTTTAGCACCACCTTGCTTTGATTTCCCCTAACAGCAGATAGGATTACTCTCCTCTCATACCGTGAGAGCTAGGAAAGGGGCAAATACCTAATTTTTGTTCTATCCTGGCAGTATAATTCATAATTCATGGGAAACCATCTATCTCTATAAATGCTATGCTGGGATGTTTGGGGAAAATATTGAAATGCACAGCATATTCATTTGTTTTGCTAAATTGTGTACAATGTTCATTTGTGGTCTTTCTTTAAGGAGCTGCTGGTACCTTAGCTAAAGAATGCATTTCACTGTACCCAAATTCTACTGCGATAGTATTTGACCTACCCGAAGTAGTGGAAAGTTTAAAGAAGGATCCTGCGTTTTCTCAGGAAAGCTGGATGACTTTCCAGACAGGTAAAATGCAGTTCCCAGGTAGGTAGTTTTCCAGACAATGCCTATGCCAGCACCCCAGCTGAGCCTCCGAAGCAAAGCCACAAAAAAGACAGCCGTGCATTCATTCCTTGCTAAAATCCAAGCTTGGGGGCAAAGTCTTAAATAATAACCTCTTACCTTCCTGCTATTTTTGTGAAGAACCAGGGGCAATGATGTTCCTTTTGAACAGCAAATGGGAGAACCTGCTGTTGTGTTACCTTGTTAGTGCAACGAGAAATGCTTTACTGCCAAGCTGCCAACCTTTAATCATTTACGGGGCACTTTTACTACTCTGTCACTGCATGATCAGTACAGTACTGTATTGCCTTTTCAACAATAGTCTGTCTGACCTATTCTCAGGCTCAGCTATTAAGTTCCAGCTAATCTTGAAAGATGGGTGTAAAATAAAATTCCCTCCATGATTATAATGCACATGGGAGGAGGCACATGGATTTTCCTGCAAAATGGCATTATTACCTCCTAGTGCATTATAGTAATGGACCTTGCTAGACACTATGGACGTTCTTTCCTTGCCTCAGGAAGCAGTTTTTTGCTCTTATAAACAAGGAGCAAAGTATTAATTACTTGACTTTTAAATTCCATTTTTCTTTTACCAGTAGAGATAAGAAGAGGGGCTTCAGTCTGCGGCCCATGGGCCACATGCGGCCCATGTCGGCTTGCAATACGGCCCAGTGCAATTTTTTATTTTTAAAGAAATTCTAAAGTTTCAAGTTACACTGCCAGCGCTTGCAGCCGGGGCACGTCACAACGGTAGGGGGGGCGGAGAGAGGGAAGGAAGGAAGGAAGGAAGGAAGGAAGGAGCGGGAGGGGAGGGGAGAGGGAGGCTGTGTGACTGCATTGCGCCATCCCCATCAATAGGTGGACCCCCTCCCGGCCCCATAAAGCCACTGGAGTCGAAGCTGGCAGCCTCTGCTGTCTGAGATCGCAGCTGACGGTAAGCACGCTTGGAGCGGGGCTGCGGAGGACAGTTAGGGATGCTCCCCATGTGGTCCAAACCAAATTTATGTGTGGCCCAAACCAAATTTTTATCTTCTAATGTGGCCCAGGGAAGGTGAAAGGTTGGACACCCCTGCATTAGAGAAATATATTTCTACGATGTCATTACCAGAACTGGCCACTAGAGGGAGCCAGAGACCATGCTATGCACAATGCACATTTTTCAGGCTCTGGGGGGTGGGCTTCAAACAGATTCCCCTTGGATATGGGGTCCAACTATATTTCTATGATGAAGTTGTGGAACTGGCCACTGGGATGAAAAGGATAATATTTCTCTGTACAGTGGTGCCTCGCATAATGAGCGCATCCTTTAAGGATGAATTCGCATAGTGACGCGTTTTTTGAGATTGCTTTTGCAATCGCATTGCGATGTTTAAATAGGGTAAACATCGCATTGCAATGATCGGTAAGCATTTCGCTTACCGATCTTCGCATTGTGATGTTTTGGAACAGCTGATCGGCGGTTCCAAAATGGCCACCAGATCAAGAAAATGGCTGCCCGCAGCGTTTTCACACCCTGCCCTCGCTTACCGAGGCGGCAAAATGGCGGCCGTATGGGGAATCTTCGGATAATGGTGAATTTTGTCCCCATAAGAACGCATTAAACAGGGTTTAATGCGTTCCTATGGGGTTTTTGGCTCCGTATAGCGACGTTTCCGGATAGCGACGATTTATCCGGAACGGATTATCGTCGCTATGCAGGGC